GACCTACCTGACGTACGGATGGCCCACAAAGAACGTGCTTTCACCTATGTCGGATTAGATTATTTTGGTCCGCTAAGCGTCACGATTGGACGGAGACACGCCAAAAGATGGGTGGCTCTCTTCACCTGCCTTACCATCAGAGCTGTTCACCTCGAGGTAGTAGAGAGCCTATCTTCAGATTCCGCCATAATGGCCTTACGCCGCTTCATTGCCCGTCGTAGTAACCCATCCTGCATATACTCAGACAACGGGACGGCATTTGTCGGAGCTGCCAAGATTGTCAATTTTTATAAGTGTGATTATGGTAGATTGAATGAATACTTTACTAAAATTAATTGGGATGAGTTGTTATTAAGTAGCTCAGTTAACGAGGCTGAAGATATATGAAGGGCCTTCAGTGAGTTTTTTGAGAGCGTTTTTGTGAGCTCAACTGCCGGAGGGAAACTGCCTTGTAGCGCGGAGCATCTTGCCCGGATCCATATAGACGAAAACCGAGTACTAATGCTTCTGCAGTCTTTGGACGCAACTAAAGCTGCTGGATGTGATGGCGTGCCCCCAGTACTGCTGGCATCTTGTGCGGAAAGTCTTTCGGCTCCTATCACCATGTTGTTTAATAGATCGCTTAAAGAGTGTGCTTTCCCTGATGTTTGGAAGCAGGCCAGAATCGTGCCAGTGCATAGGAAGGGGTCTAAGTCACTCATAGAGAACTATCGGCCAATTTCGATCCTCAACACGGTAAGTAAATTATTCGAGAAGGTAGTTCTTGAGCAAATTTACTCCACCATTGCTAAAGGTATTCCGCAGAATGAACATGGATTTTTGAGACGCCGCTCTACTGTATCGAACCTAACACTGTTTTCAAATTATGTTCTTAATGGAATGGAGAAGGGTGGACAAGTTGACGTAATTTACACGGACTTTGAAAAAGCGTTTGACCGCGTAGACCACTGTATCCTCATCCATAAACTTCAATGCCTCGGTATTCATGGTGATTTATTACGCTGGGTCCAATCATACTTAACTAAAAGGTCTCAGATGGTCGTTCTTGGTGGATACAGATCTGACTTTGTCACTGTCCCTTCTGGAGTTCCACAGGGCTCGCATCTCGGTCCTCTGTTTTATAATGCGTATATCCACGACATAGATAAGGTAATCAAGAACTCAAACCATCTTCTGTATGCTGACGATAAAAAGATATTCATGATGTTGCTGATTGCCAAAAGTTGCAGGACGATCTAAATAATCTTTTCTATTATTATAACGAAAATAATATAAAAATAAGTATTAGTAAATGTCAATGCATAAGTTTTACCCGTAAGCCTAATCCTATAGTATTTACTTACAATTTCAATAATGTAACGATTGTGAGATCTGATGTGGTCCGTGATCTAGGAGTGTACTTTGACAGTAAAATGGTAATGTCTACACATATAGACACTATAGTGGGGAGGGCCTATCGCAACCTTGGTTTTGTTATGCGTACATGTCGTCCTTTTAATAGTCCCTTAAGTCTAAAAATAGTCTATTATGCATACGTGCGTAGTCTCTTAGAATATGCGGCCCGTGTTACAATATTTACATTAATCGTATCGAAGGTATACAGAAGAAATTTGCACGCCACTTGAATTTTAGATTTCGGAAAATTCTTGTTATATCGACGTACGAGTAAATTTGCCGAGCGCACGACTTGCTTACTCTGGAGGAGCGTCGTGAGGTCCTTGATATGGGTCTGTTGCATGATATCGTTGGTGGTGGCTTTGATTGTCCAGAACTGCTTAAACTAATATTTTATAATACACTTCCTCGTCGTACCAGGTCTTCCAATTTATTATATGTTCCACATCATTATACTAAATATGGTCAAAATGCTGTGCTTTCTCGTCTACCAAAAATCTATAACGTGAAATTCGGTGAAGTCGATCCTTTTGTCGGTTCAAAAAAACAATTTCTGAATAAAGTGAAACAATTATTATTTAAGAACTTCCAAACAGCAACCAATGCAGAATTGGTGTTTTTGGGGTATTTTAATACTCACCACATTTTGTGGTTAAGTTCCTCGAAAACTGACCATGCAGGGATCTCTGCTCACGCATTCGCTCTCACGCATGACTTGAAGCAACTGGTCGATCAGCCCACCAGGATTCCAGATATTTCAAGTCAAGCGCCTTCATTGCTGGACCTTCTGCTCACGACCCATCCACAGGGCTATCAGGTTGTGGTAGGAGCCCCCCTGGGCTCTTCAGACCACTGCCTGATATCTGCCAAAGCGCCACAGGCCAAGCCTCCAGTCCGTCCCTTGGAAGCAGCGCTGCTTCAGTGACAAGGACCTATCAGCCCGTTGCTTTTACTGAGGAGATTGTAATGGGTATGGAGTACTATATTCCACATTCCAATCTCATCAGTAATGGCACACGTAACCTCTGGTTCAATCACGACTGTGCTGAAGCTGCTTCACGTAAGCAGGCGGCATACCGTGCTTGGACCAGAGGCCGCGCTCTTAAGGATCCCGGGGTCGATTCACTGAAAGCAGCCTACAATATTGCTTCCAAGTCCTGTAAGAAGGCTTATATCAGAGCGGATGCGCAGCGCACGTGTTGGTCACGAACTCATAACGCATCCTACGGGACCCCGTAGCTATTGGCGTTTGGCCAAGGCCGTGCAAAAAAACTTCTGCCAGCCCTCGCTGCCACCTCTGAGATGCCCAGACGGAACACTAGCTCATAAGCCGCAGGAGAAAGCCGATTTACTGGCAAAATTCTTTGCGGCTAACTCCCGAATCGATGATTGCAATGCACTGCCACCATCGTTACCTCACTGTGGCACAACGATGCCTGATATTAAAATCAGCAGTAGTACTGAAAAAATGTGCAACAGAGATGTCTCCCGTGCTCACGCGCTTGTACCAATGCTTGTATTCTTTGGGGCGTGTGCCGGAGACTTGGAGAGATGCTAACGTGCAACCGGTGCCCAAAAAAGGGGATCGCTCAGACCCGGCAAACTACTGGCCAATAGCAGTCACCTCAGTTTTATGTAAAGTTCTGGAAAAGGTCCTTAATAACCATCTGACCCGCTACCTAGAGGATCACTCCCTGATTAATGATCGTCAATATGGTTTTAGACCGAAACGATCGACGGGTGATCTTCTAGCGTACTTAACTCATATCTGGGGTGAGGCTATCGACAAGCGTGGCGAGTCGTTGGCTATCAGCCTTGACATTGCCAAGGCGTTCGACAGGGTCTGGTACAAAAGCCTTCTCTCCAAGCTTCCGGCATACGGTCTGCCAGCCCAGTTCTGTTCTTGGGTAGCTGACTTCCTGCATTACGGATGGTAGCAGATCGCGGTTCATGTCAGTGAATGCCGACGTTCTCCAGGGCTCCGTCCTATCCCCCACTCTCTTTCTGCTGCATATCAATGACTTAATTCCTCTTGGGAATATTAATTGCTATGCAGACGATAGTACAGTGCATGCGGGGTATCTCGGACAAGCAGCGACTGGGCAGGCGGTAACCAAGGCGAAACGGGAGAATCTTGTCATTGAGCTCAATCAGGCTTTGGACCACATTTCCGAATGGGGTACCAGGAACTTGGTTGAGTTCAATGCCAAGAAAACTCAGGCTTGCGCTTTTACGGCAAAAACATCGCCATTCCTTCCCCTTCCCTCTCTTCAGGGCACAACACTACCGCTCCAGAGCAACATTTCCATGCTCGGTATGGAAGTTCGCTCAGACATGAATCCAAAGGACTAAATCGAAACCGTGATCAAATCAGCTTCACGCAAACTCGGAGTCCTGAACAAGGTGCGGCGTTTTTTCACGCCCGATCAACTGTGCTTGTTGTACAAAACGCAAGCGCGGTCCTGCGTGGAATATTGCTCGCACCTCTGGGATGGCTCCGCCAAGTACTTGCTCGATGCTTTAGATAGGTTACAGCGGCGCGCGATCCACATCATAGGCGATGAGGAGGTGACTAAACACCTTGAGCCTCTTCAATTACGCCGTGACGTTGCATCACTAAGCGCTTTCTATCGTCTGTAGCACGGCGAGTGTTCTGAGGAGTTATTCTCTCTTATCCCACCTTACCCTTTCCTTCAGAGGACCACGCGCGCTGGCCTACGTTGTCACCGTCTAACTGTGGCCACAATTCCAACACGTACAAAGAAATTTGGAGACTCATTTCTTTGTCGCACTATCCGTAAATGGAATGCTCTGCCCGCTCACGTGTTCCCTCCCTCTTACAACCTGGGATCGTTGAAGGCGTGAAGAAGCAACATGCAGGCCGGCAGGGTGAGGATGGCTGGTGTGGCAGGTAGAACTGCTGTATCAGCTATCTTCGCGTCTGGACTTCACCTTCACTTAACATCAGGTGGGGTGGAGTCATTTGTCGGACCTATCTATAAAATAAAAAAAAGTCGTGTGACGTTCGTGACGAATTTTCGTTTCATCCTTTCATGGTATTTTTTCATTTACACCCCGTCCGTTATTCTTTCCTTCCAGTCCAGATTGAACCAAGCACTGGAATGCTACTGAAATAATGTGAACCGGCACTAGAACATTTCCATTTCAGTGACTGGAATGACTGTCTACTTTTCAATACAGCACTACTAGAATAGAGTAGACTGCCATTAAAGTGGACTGTAGGTATTGATTTGCTGGATTACTAGACTGGAATAATGTGAACTGGACATAATTTTCAATCCAGTTAATAAACTATTGTGTGTCTAATTACACCCCAATAATTTGTTGGCGTGATTGTGATTTGTTGAGTAACAAATATAGAAAACTTTAACAAAATATATATTAAATATAAGATATTAGAAGGAATAGTTTGTCTGAAAATAGTTTGTTATCTCAAGATTTTTGATGACAATAAGTTAGAAAATCACAAATAAAACTCAAACTACTCAATCTCTAACATTCCACAATTCTGACCTCCCTGATGGAGATATAACGTTACAAATAACTTCTACTCTATTTCCTTTCAAGGCATAGGCATTAAATTTTTCCTGTTATTCTGAATAGATATAAATATGAAGAAATCAAAATAAAAAGGTTTTTGAAACAGATTTTAATCAAACATCAATTACGATTTCTTTTTGAGCTTTGGTTGATGGCGCTAAAGTGTCAGTTATTTCTAACATGTCCTTATTAGAAGTAATTTGTCCTGCAGATAGTAGCATTCCAATGGCTCCTTCTAGTTCACTAACTTTTTTACAGACTTCTACTTCTTCATTGATTTCCTGTTGGAGCGATGTATACAGTAATAAATTTGCATTTGAAAATGTTTTAATTTGAGGTTCAAACACATCTACAAAAACATTTACTGCATCAATTATTGTCCTTGTAAATCTTACTTCACCTAGATTCTTCTTGAAGTACTTTAGTAATGCTCCTATATCTTTTTCTTTCAACTCATTCATGGCAACATCAAGTACTTTTCGTCTAAGCATTTCTTGTATTGCTGCTGCTGTTTTCTCAGGAAATTTAGTAGCCACATATGTTTTTAAAACTGCAGACAAAGCTTTACTAAATTCCATTTTCCTAAGAAATTTATCACAATCACTCTCTTTAACAAATTGTGGTTTGTTGACAACTGTTTCAACTATTCCATGAACTGTTTGAATATGATCTGGTGCAAACCTAAAAAGACCTTTTTTCTCTCCTGTCTCTGGAACAGGTTTGTCTCTTTTCCTAATAGATATTACTCCATCAATCATACCAACGGCTAAAGTATCATCATGTTCAGATATGCCCATACTAAGTATAGCATTAGGAAAGTCAATGTTATGTACAACTGTGAATGTAGATATGTCATAGATTTTTACATGTCTATCAAGTGAAGCAGACATTAATCTGCTACTATTACTAGCTAATCTAAGAGATGTCACCGTCTTATGGTGTTGTGAAATGTTTGCCAGCAATTTTCCACCATTAAAAATATCCCACACTTTAATTTCTGTTCCACCAGCACTGATAAAAATTCCGCCAGAAGGTAAAAATATTGTAGACTCCACAGGACTGCCATGATTTACAGTCAAAACAGTTTCATTTGATCTACAATCATATAGTTTCACAGCATGATCATAGCCACCTGATAGGATAATATCTGGTGAAATAGGACTAGCTGCTCCAGCTCTTACATAATCGGTGTGATCAGAAAAAGTTGCTATTTTTTCTTCTGTAGCAATGTCCCATAAACAAACTGATTTGTCATCAGAGAAACTAAGTATTTTAACTTGATCTCTTGAAAAGAATGTTCTATGCACCTGTAATTTAATAAATTGGAATTTTAGTTTATTGTAGCAAATAAAACATTTAGATTATTCTTTGACTTTAAAGAAACATGTGCCTATTGTGGCTTTGGCTGTATGACAGTTGTAGACTAGTTGGCTATCCTGACTAGACAGGGATCAGCTGAAACATCTCATCATAAAGAATAAAGTAACTCTAGGTACAAAAAATACTTAAACTTACCGGTGCAACATGACCTGTGAAAACTCTTAAGACCTTTTTGGAATTAACATCAAACAATTTAACAGCAGCTTCTTCACTTCCTGCTACAAGTAACCGACCATCAGCACGGAAAGTAGCACCATATGCTGCCTCCACAAACTTAGATATATTTTTAGCTACGACCTTCGTAATGGGATCATAAACCTGTGAAAAGATGTCCCTTTATCATTTACCACTCAAAAATGGTAAAGTATTTTCACTTTACCATATTTGAAATAAAATTTTACCTGAACTCTGACAGAACATGTAGCAGCAAAGTAGTAAGGTTCGGCAGGACTAAAGTCTATATAGTCAATCGCACCAAATTCCTTTACTAGAACAGGTAGCTGGAAAAAATACACCAAATTGAACCTGAACATAGTGGTAAAATATCACTGTCATAAAAAACTTTGTGAGTCCGTGGCTGTGAGAAAGCATTAATAGAGTGGCTGGTCAGCAATTCAGCGGTTTGTTTCTATGTGCAAGTAAAACCAAAAGAAAAACAGAGTTTAACAGCTGCTATAGCTGTTAAACTCTGTTTTTCTTTTGGTTTTAGTTCAGGTTGGAAAGAAACACAAAGTGAACTAAGGCTTAATTAAGCTTTATTACTTACACCTAGTTTCTTCCAATAAATAGTATCTGAAGTAACAGTCGAAGCCGGCTTCTGGTAAGGGGACTTGTTAGTCCGTTTAAAAGGATATGATACATGCGCCATGTTCTCCTAATTTGTTATTATAAATTATAATGAGTAATTTCTATGTCGCGCCTAGCTAATTATTTCATAGTTAAAAAAAAGGAATAAAAACAATCAAAACAAAGTTAAAGACAGACTGCACGTGTTTGCGATTGCAATTTTTTTTTTACTTTATTTTTTTGTAGTTCTCCTTTTTCAGGGAAGGCAAAAGGAGCAATACCCATAGAGCCTCGTGTTTAGTTTTTTTTACTTTATTTTTTATTCTTCTCTCTCTTATTGGGAAAGGCAAAGTCATGGAGCCATCACCTTAATTTTTCATTAATCTTCTTTTTTTTACATAAAGCCGGGTCTCCTGCGCCAAAATTTCTTGCAATCTTCTTGCAACTTAAGAATGGCTGGAAGAATTTCGACGCGGTCCGTGAGGGCCGCGGTAGCATAATTGGCCAGTGCATTCGCCCGGATTGCAAAGGGTGCGGGTTCGAGTCCCGTCTGCTACCTGGTCCGCCGTGGATTTTTTTCTAGTTATATTTTCATTAGATTTAAACATCAAGCAATTACATGCTTAAAAAATAAAAATTATAAAAAAAAAATATATATTATTATTTCTTTTTTACCCCAGCATGCGCGCATATCATTGAGTAGGATATAAATTTAATTAAATGATTTTTTATTTTCAATAACAAGTAACTGCCTGGTCCGCGTGGAATTTTTTCTAGTTATATTTTCTTTAGATTTAAACATCAAGCAGTTACATGCTTTAAAAATAATAAAAATTATAACAGTAATATTTTTGTTTCTTAGGTTTTCACGCACATCACTCATTAAATAAAACTAGTTTTTTAATAATAAATTATTTAATAATAATAAATAAATAAAGTTTCGTGCATTAACCCGTAAAAAACTAGTTTTATTTAGTAATATTTTTATCAATATTTTTCCACTTATTCCGCAAAATCTCTAAGGAATTATGCCTTGCTTGTTTATTTTTATATAATGGGTTAGACACATCCCAAAGGCATGGCAAGTCTTTACATATATCTAAAATCTCCTCCATTACTTCCCGTTCAGATCGAATAGACATAATATTGTCGTCATGTTGCTCCATCTTCTTCTCAAAAGACAAGTCAACGCACACTCCCGCCCCGCTCTGAACGCCGCTTGCACAGTGACTACTTTCCGGTATATTATACTACTCTTTGGTGACTACGTTAAAAAATTGGCCAGTTAGCGTCCAAACCACTCAATTTGATTGGGCAATCCGGAATCGGGCGATACCGACCATCCAATGACCTTCAATTTCATATTTCCGTCCACACAACACAATTCGATTGTCCATCTAATCAAATTGGACGTAAAATTGTATCGTGTGGAAGCCACTTAACACTTGACATTGGCTAAATGCACAAGCCGTGCGAAGCCATTTAGAAAAAAAAAGAAAGAAAAGCAAGATCGAGATGAACCGTGTTTACTCGCATTATTTTTGATTTATATTTGTAATATATTAGGTCTTGTGCATATATATATTGAAAATGTTTAAATTACTTGGTCGTCAAGGTTGTCGCAGTGCTGTCACTAAACTGTTTTGTGAAAAGATTGAGGTTAGAAACACAAAAATTTATTATGTATACTCTACAGCAAATGCAGTGCGATTTGCTTCAACTGGTGGAAATGATATTGGCAAAGCTACTACTGTTGTAGATAATATCCCGGAACCTCCGCCTGTACCAGATCCTGAGACTTTTAGCCAGTTGAATGAGACTGTTCAATCTTTAGCTGCCAATGGTGAGCCTACTTTTGCAAGCTTAGGTCTTGGTGGTTGGAGCCCTGTAGGACTTGTACAAAACTGCTTAGAGTACTTACACATTTCTCTAGATGTACCCTGGTGGGGAGCCATTGTTATAGGCACTGTAGTTGTTAGACTGGTTATGTTTCCTCTGGTAATAATGTCTCAAAGGAACACGGCGCTCATGAATAATAATCTACCAGAGATTCAGTTACTGCAAATGAAAATGACTCAAGCAAGACAAACTGGTAATCAGTTGGAAACAGCGCATTATGCACAAGAAATGATGGCATTCATGAAACAAAAAGGGTTAAACCCTTTGAAAAATGCCTTGGTTCCCTTAGCACAAGCTCCCCTTTTTATATCATTTTTCATGGGATTAAGAGGTATGGCTAACTGTCCTGTTGAAAGTATGTCATATGGAGGGTTGTGGTGGTTTGCAGATTTGACTGTTCCTGATCAATATTTTCTGCTACCTATTTTGACCAGTGCCACAATGTGGGCAACAATCGAGCTTGGTGTAGATGGTGCTCGACTTGATGCACAGAATATGCAACTGATGAGGTATTTCCTAAGAGCTATCCCTTTTGTTATGATACCATTTACAGTTAATTTTCCAGGAGCTATTTTGGTTTACTGGTGCTCCAGCAATTTCATATCTCTTGTGCAAGTTGGGTTTCTCAAAATTCCAGGAGTTCGTGAATACTTTAAGATCCCTAAATTGATTAGTCACAGTGCTGACACACTACCAATGAAAAAGAAGGGCTTTGTTGCTGGAGCAAAAGAATCATGGACAAATATGAAAATTACAAAAGAGCTTGCAGAGAGACAGAGAGTTGATGAAATGATTTTCACGAGAGCAGGAAAAGGGCCACTTCAGAAGACCTACAAATATGACCCTACAAAATTAACAAATATTCAAGCAAAGTCAAAATAGGTTTTAGTTACAATGATGTAGCCTCTTACTATTATACTTGGATTAAAAGTGAACTACTGTTTTATTTTCTCATGCAAAGTCACTTTTATATTAAAAACTAATTGTAAATATAGCATAGATTTTTAGATTGACTGCTTTCATATAATAAATAATGCAATCAATACAACTTATAGCATTTTTTTCCTATCTGATACATTTTCTTAGAACTACCTTATTACAAACCATAGACTAAAGTTAAACCTGGACTAAAACTAATGCTGGCACTTTTGTTTAGAGATAGGGCTGCCATCTCTAAAATGTGGCAACCAGGATAAGACGCGTGATAACCCCGGATTTTGGAGCCCAGAACCCGGACAGACCAATAAAAAAACAGTTAAAAATGTCACAAATCAACTTTTTTATGTTGATGTAGGCAAAACAGCTAGGTCTACCTCATAATAAGTGGTCACTGCTGCCCATGGACACTTGCAGCACCAAGGGCCACTCATGCGTTATTGACGGACTATTTGGCAACCCAAAACAGGAATTTTTTAAACCCGGACTACAAATGAAACCCCGCCCGGACGCTCCACGGACGCCCCGTAAACTAGGACAAATCCGGACGGATGGCAGCCCTATTTAGAGACAACAATAGGTTTAAACGAAGACTAACTCTAGTCTCTGTTTTGGAATAAGGGGGTATAGTTTAGAACTAGGAATTAATATTAGGTTTTTGTTTTGTTGCTTTCCCATGTCTTGACCGTCATAGTTACCGAATATTCAGTTAAGGAGTATTACTGTCCTGAGATTAGTGATATGCAGTGGTCTTTTGTCTTGAAATAGCAAGACAAAAGTGATTCTACGTGTGTTGTCAGCTATTCCGTACAGATGGCGCCATATACCTAAGGCATCGAGAACCGATTACATTTTCGGAACCGGTTCTTTCGGTTCCCTTTAAAACACAGAACCGGGTACCCGGTTCTTTCGGTTCTTTGGAGGTAAGTAATTTATTTAAAGGCTATTTGATCAAATAATGAGGTACTTATTCAAAATCAATGAATATTTTTCATCAATAATCATGTTTTATTTATTACAAGAATCTTTAAAAATTGCAATGTTAACACAAACCATCGATTCTTAAATACTGAAATTAATAACATTTAGTTCAGTTCACAGTATTTATCAATTAAATCAGATTGGATATGTTTTTGAAGAATTTCATTTTTAGTGGGGGAAGGTTTTGACCACTTTTCGAACTTTAGATATAAGATCATGATATCTGAATGACTGTTGAGGTCTGGATTCTGGAATAAGCGACTCGTTATTGAAACGGGCGCCATCTTGATCATCATTTTCTTCTATGTCATTGGCGCTATTGTCAATTTCGTTACTAATTTCACCTCTTCGCATAAGTAAGGCTATTTCTGTTAGAGTTAGAGTCATATTGACTTCGATATCATTTTCTTGGTCGTCGACTACACGCGGCAAATTGGTGTCATCGTCAGAGTCTTCATTGCGTTTGTACATAACATCCATGATTGCCAGTTGAATGGCGTAAGCAATACATAACTTATGGCAGGACTTCAGATGTTTATCAAATGCAACCATTAGGCTCCAACAAACCATCGGTTGTCTGGCCGACAATATCTGTGCCTAAGCGTAATCCATATTCATCTAACTTGGATTGGATTAATTGGACGCATTTTTCTGCATTCATGGAACCGTTAATTCTAATTAGTCCCAAGTTATGAAATGCACATTCTCTTAAAATTTTTGGTGAATGCAGTATTAAACTAGACTTAGGCTTTGGATACGAGACTTTTGAGCTTGCGTGGGTAAAAAAAGGGTTTAAAATAATAACCGAAAGAACCGTTAGAATCGTTAGAACCGGGTTTTTACATCTGAGAACCGGTTCTTTTAGATACTCCCAGAACCGGGTTTTCCCGGTTCTTTCGGTTCCGGGTAGAACCGGTTCCGATGCCCTACATATACCTACCTAGTAAAGAGTAAAATATGTTTGCCATGTTTAATGTTTAGTTTTATAATTTGTTCTAATTAGGACTATTAAAATGAAATGCCACTAAATATAAAGTATTATTTAACCTATATGTATATGTCGTGGCCATATCGTAGATTTGATCACTTCATGAAATGCTCGAAAATTTCATGAAATGGTCGCATTTCATGAAATGTTTCACTATCTATTGGCCACATCATGATGTGGTTTGGGCAGATCAATGATGAGAAATCGTTACACGATATGGCCAACTAAACGCGTGGCTACTTCATGAAATGGCAAAAATTATTTGATCATATTGTAAAGTAGTTACATTAATTACCGGTAGAGGCGCTGCAAGCGCTTTGTTTATATATATAAGGCCGCTGCCGACAATGTTGTTTCTCGCAGTGAAAAAGTGCATAATTCGTTATTTAATGACGAAGAAAGTTATCAAAAGGGTTTTCGACGAAACAAATTAAGGAGAGTAGGGTGACTACGCAAAAGAAATCTATGGACTATTACTGGCTGTCAAAATATGACATTTTGGAAACTGCGGTTGAGGTACAAAGTGCGGATGAGAATCAATGCCGTACAAAGATATACTGTAAAACTGTACTTCTAGGGCCCAAGAGGTGATACTTGATTTTTTTTTGTAGAAAAGGTCTCTTTAATGGAGTTTTTTTCTGGCGCTTCGCCGGCCGCTGCCGCGGCACGCCTGCTTTGCTCGCTCGGCTCGCGCGTCATGGTCACAACACTAACCTAACCTAGAGTGAAGTATTACCGTTTGGGCCCTGGAAGAACAGTTAAGCTTACTATTGTAATATGTACCAAAGTACCTTATTATTTCTCAATATTAATTGATAGTTTTCTAAATATAAATGTGTAAGTTCTTGACATGTTTGATGTTTAATTTAGGAAAAAAAAATCTTTAATTTGTTTATTTTGTTACAAAAATTTGATTAAATTTGTTTGTGTCATTCGGACTTAAATAACAATAAACAAGTTCTTACATATTCTGGATTTTTAATAAATATTTTATGGACACCCTAATTATACGATCCGGCCAAATGTGGATGACCAAATCGTTAAATGTTGACGATTTAATGATCTGGTCAAATTAAGTTGGCCACATCATGAAATGTGACCATTTCATGAAGTGATCAAATACGATATGGCCACGACATATATACACAGATGGTAAATTTCAGAGGAATACATAGTTAAAAGTTATCATCTATATTAATATCGTAAAGAGAGATTTATTGTTTCTTTATTTGTATAGGCTCCGAAAGTACTGGACCGATTTGAAAAAATCTCTCACGTTTATAATCCTACATTATCCCTGATGAACATAGGCAATTTTCAAAAAAGTTAGGGTTTGGTATGAAAACTTCGATAACGTAACACGAATGGAATATTTTTACCCGTTTTTGCAACATTTTACATCGATAATCCGCTCTTACTGGGTGATGTTATATAGCCTTAAGACTTCCTCGATAAATGCATCTTCATCATCTAACACAAAAAGTTTTTTTCAAGTATATATATTTGCGCGTTCAACAAAAAAATGGTGCATTTGGTACAATAAGTCCTGAAGTACGAAACAAAATTTTCACTATCAGTTAAATAATTTTTCTTGGAAGGTTTATTAATATAAATTAGTTAATTATTATATAAAGAAATTCACTGTGTATAATACAAGACTGAAAACACAAATTATAGCCTACCTACACTACAGCTCCACATCGAAGCGAAGCGAGGGCGGTCTTATATATTGTCACAAACGCTCTCGAAACAAAACCCCGAAAATACTATAACCAAATTTATTAAAGATAGGTTGGTTTTTTGGATTGCAAATTCAATCCATGGTTTCCATTCATAGTTTAGGGATTCTTCCGCGTCTTCGCACCCAGCAGCTTCCCGGCCTAGCCGGGGCTCCACGGCAGTGGTCTCCCGAGGTATGGCGGGGACCCCGCAGGCGTGCGCAGGATGGCCCAAGCGTGGGGGCTGAGTACGCGGTCTAGTACCCACCGTACCGCCCCCCGTCTGCTGCAGAGGACTACTTGGGCGTGCCTGTGTACCTCCCTCCGCCGCCCCCCTCTTTGCAGGACAGAACTATAAGAGGGGGTAGTCTGCCGTCACGGGATCCCTCGGTGGCCGGCATGGCACAATGCGACGTACCGGCCAGCTAGGGATCCCCGCGGGCAGGGTCGTGGGACGGGCGCAGCCAGGGCGCGCACTCGTCCTCTCCTGCCCGCTCTTCTTCGGCGGGAGGGAGCGGCCAGGGGATCATCTGTGATGCCTCCTTCTGCGAGTTAATGTTCTCGCACAAGGAGGACGCGACGCTGCTGCCGCCAGAACTTTTATTACATCATCTCAAAAATTTTCATCTGTAGCATATCGTATTACATTTTTAATTCTCGTTATATATTCAGACCTTACCAACAATTTTATAATAAATTATTTTAAAAGTTTCACTTCAATCGTGGTTTCATGAAACCATACCAAATTTTTGATTGAAACCTAAGTATCTATTTACAAGGTATTCATATTAGTATAGGGATGTCGAAAGTTGAAAAAATATCGATATATCGATACATCGATTTTAAAAAATATCAATATTCTCTTCGATATATCGCGAAAAAAACATCGATATATCGATATATCGGACCAATTTTCCCAAAACTATATTTAGGTCAGCCTAGCACAGTAATAATAACAATACACATTATAATTAAAGAAAGAATTATCAAAGTACCAAATTGCCGATACACTACATGACAGTACAGTATCTCACGAAAGATGGCACGCGGAATAATAATGCAACGAAAATTATCTCCCTAAAAGTAGACCCGATTTTCGAATGATTAAATTAATGCAGGGCCTCTCAGGTGTCATCTTTCGTAAACAAGACTAGACAGCCACACACTTCCACAGAATATAATGGAATTCAGTGCAACCAATTCACCAGCGAAACAGATTTACAAATAATAGACAATACTAAATACAGCACAGATCATAGATATGTTGAATATCATTAATCTGAGATCCAGTTCCGATTTTTCCAGATACGAATTTAGTTAGATCGTGATATGCCGTTAATAATTAAAAAAATATCGTTTTTGATACGAATTTCGATATTGGTTATTTTGTATCGATATATCGAATCAAATATATCTGCAAAAAATATCGATATATCGATATATTTTCAACAAGCCTATATTAGTACTTAGTCACTTGTAAGAGTACCTAGGATCCTAGGTAATTGTTTAACAGCGAGTGTTCCTATTTTATACAGTTGCAATAATTGACTTCATCTTCCTATTTCTTAAACAAACTTGCTCTGCTTTTCTCACACCTGCGCGACGAAGCTTTGGGTGGCTTTGGTACTAATTGCGCTAAAATTACCGTTCAAAATTTGAATTAGTTCTATCGTAATGAATAAACGGATTGCGTGTATAAAAATGGTATGAAAACATTAGACGATAGCTTGACTGGCGATAACTTGACACGCTTAAGAGGGGAGGCGGACAATGTCCTTTCCATACAAACGTTCTCGTCTGATTCCTTCTTGATTTTCATCACTAAAGAATTGATTTTCATACATTTAATATAATTAATATAATTATTTTATAATTAATATAATTATAAAAAATAATTATTATATAATATAATTATTATAATTAGTATAATTAAATGTATGAAAAATCAATTCTTTAATGATGAAAATCAAGAAGGAATCAGACGAGAACGTTTGTATGGAAAGGACATTGACCGCCTCCCCTCTTAAGCTTGTCAAGTTATCGCCAGTCAAGCTATCGTCTAATGTTTTCATTAGACTTTAGCTTTCCATACAAACGTTCTCGTCTGATTCCTTCTTGATTTTCATCACTAAAGAATTGATTTTCATACATTTAATATAATTTTACTTATTCTATGTCTTCTTGTTTTCGTTAACTTTTACACAACTAATGACGTCTAGTGAGGCGATTTAATAAGCATTTGCAAAAAAAGCAAAACATAGAGGCATAGTATAACTACTTATTATTCTTTTTGTAAAATATTTTACATAATAAGTAAGGTACCCGATACAAATTAGGCCTATGCTGAAATAAGACCTGTAGTGCAGAAAAGTCTAATAAAATAGGTTTTCATCAAAAATACTTTACACACGCATAGATGACAGTTACAACTCGGTAAACTGTGCACGAGCGGTCCGCTCGAGCTCATAGTGTCAGTAGTGGCGGTACTTTGTGAAGGATGAGCTTTTCAAAGCGCGTTATTAATTTGTCATAATATTTAACGAATATTAATACGTTATTCTTTGAAGTTTTGTTTTATGTAATGTATACAGATCACAAAATATAACTAAACAAAAAAATGACTATGACTTATTTAACTTTTTAGAATATGCGAATTAAATACTACTTATAACTTTTATAAAGAATAATGTACTAAATAAAGCCTTCTTTTATAAATGGCCCAATTTTATCAAATATACACATATCTATTAAAATATATTCATTTTCCAATATTTACGAGAAGATATGTTAATTTGATAATTTTTGTTTGAATGGATATCTTTGTTTTCATATTATTCTTTATCTCTTGTTAATATGCGACTTCAAATCTTGACTAGCAATTTAAGCTACTATATATTTAATAATAAATTAGAACGTTGTTCAAGGATCCCATGGAAACATTTGATTAAAGGCTCAGAAATAAATATCGCACCTTTATTCCAATACTGTCATTATCATAAAATAAAATTAAAATACAGGATTTGAAGTAATGTGTAGATTCATAACGTAGCAAATAGATGGCGTTGTAAACTATTTTTTGAAGAATTATGTTTAATGACAGTATTGGAATAAAGGTGCGATATTTTAATATAATTTATACTCTAATAACAATATTCCTATAGTTTAAGTAGGTACATAGGCTTTGTTACGTCACTATGTTTTTAAAAGGCCTAAGGCTAAGGTTCCAGAATTAGCTCTTTTTAAGTGATTTCTGATATAATGGATTGTAATATGTTTTCTTAATTACTTTTTATGACCCAAACAATAATGCCTTGCTTTTATTTATCACCTTCTTCGAATAATTTATCATGATTGAAATTAGGTCGGCCTTATTTGTATCACTTACCTTATCTAATTTTCGAGAAGGAAATCGTCGAGAGCCAAACCTCGAATTTTGCAATTTTTACACACAGTATTCAGCGTTAACTACCTACTGTAGTCCCTATCGCACGGCATATGCCAATGCGTGATGTAAATAGTTTTTTCAAATACCTATTTCTCAAATGTCTCTCAGCTCGCGTCCGCTCTTAAGAGGTTGTGGGAGACGATAAACTTGTATGTACAGCTGAAGAAGCGCACTTAATTCAATATTCGAACGCTCATTCAGCTAATTTCAGTGAATTTTAGTACCAAAGCTTCGTCGCGTACTTACGCACGCTTCCTAGGATAAGCATTACCTAGAGTACCTTGAATCGAACTCAACTAAAAAGAATCAGCCAAATTAGTCGACTTATTACGCAAAGAAATGCAATTGTTTCTTTTTAAGTAAGATTGATTACACATCTTTAATTACAGTAGTAGGAAGTAGGTAGGTACAGATAATCAATTCCAATTAGCAGTTCAATCCATTTAGAAGTAGTAAGAAATGTTCTACGAACTTTAGGAGAGCCATTCGGAAGAAAAGCTAAAATAGGACCACGTAAACTTAAAAGCAGTATTCCTGTTTGCATAGCGACTTCAATGCGCTTTTTTTGTGAACCCACGTGTGAACCATACAGTTTTTGGCCTTCGCCACCGAATTACCCTTTCGATTTCGAAAATTATATCAAGGATATAATACCCAACAAAAACGTATCCGTGTGCAAGTTTAGTTTATATTCATAAGTAATAATATTTATAATTTTTATTTATAAGAATGTAAATGCTTGATGTTTAAATGTAAAGAAAATATAACTAGAAAAAAATCCACGTGGACCAGGCAACAGACGGGACTCGAACCCGCACCCTTCGCTATCCGGGCGAATACACTGACCAATTATGTTACCGCGGCCCTGATGGCGTGTCTTCGCCTTAGCTATTTCTTCGTTCAAATGTTTAATACTTGTAAAAGTATTCATTTGATATTGTGGGTAACCTACAATGCG